AAACTGCTAAGGTCAATATCTGGAAGCTTGTTACGAAAAGAAGCCAATGCACAATCATAATCAGAATTCATACCATATATGTCGCTATCCCGTAAGATGTAGTCTTGCAATACCCAAAATTGGGCCATTGAGGCAACAAAAGCATATGAGGTAGCCTCCACTGTCGAGTATAAACCTAAACCACCAAACCTAATGAGTAAGGAAGCAATTTGCCACTGTATGTCGCCAAAGAAAGGGCCACCACAAACCTCAATGTCCTCAATCACCCCGCGCAACCCATTCTCAAAGAATATTGCCGCCTCCTCCATGTGAACGGGTTGGCATGTCCTCAGCCCAAAGAAAAGCTTAGCAATACCCATACAAGATCGAAGCAGAAGGAGCTCACTCTGGGGTCATACAATTGTGGAAGAAGGCGCATCAAATTTACATCGTTTTCGGTTCTCTTTATGGCTAAGTTGCTAATGAAACTGGCATCTTTACTAACAAATCTCCCAAGAAGTTTCACCCCCAAAGGCGGCCTCCCGATGCCAGCCGGGAATAGTCCCTCGCGCAACTTCCTACCATCACACGAGGGCCAAAAGAGCTCGGTTTTCTTGATATTCAGTTGAAGGCCCAATTTTGGGCCAATCACCGTAATGATGTCCAATGCTTTGGCCACCTCCTCCGAATCTCCATTAAGTGTGCCGTCATCAAGGTACCATGCATGGAGAAGAATTTTGCAATTGTCTCTAATATTATGCAAGAGCGGGTGCAACATAAGGGCAAAGAGAAGTGGTCCCAAGGGGTCTCCTTGTTGAACCCCAGTAGTGGACCAAATATGTGTGTTGCCTAGATACAACCTTGTTGCTTGACCATATAGGAATTCTACCCACAAGGATATAGAAGGACACCTCAATCTGACCTCATGAAGTAATACAGATTTGTCGACAAGGTTAAAGGCCTTAGAGAAGTCCACGGTAAGCATGGAAAGAGATCCGTCATTGTGGCGCTCACTCAACACCCTATTGGCGCTATGTAATACGGCCTCAGCGCCACCCGACAACCTAAACTCGAACTGAAAATCATTAAGATACTTGGCCATTTCTTTACCAACACCTTTCATAGCCAACTTGGAAACCAAACGTCTCCATATAGTACCTACTGCAATAGGTCGTATTCCCTTGTCAGGTTTTAAGAGCGGCGTGAGAGGAGCAGAGGCAACAAATTATGCCAAACTCGAATGGTATTTCCCCCTATCTATAGATTAACCACAAATATAATAGCACGTAGGAGGTCTTTGGCTATAGCTGAACCTTCTCCACAAAGGGCATCCAAAATGTGTTGAGCTCTCAACCCGTCTCTCCCACACGAGGTACCTTTAGGGAAGGATTTAATTCCCCCAAGGACATTGTCAACATCCACTACAAGGGGAGGTTATGAACATATGGTGTTGGGCATGGAAGGTGGTAGCTTGTATGGAAGCTTATCCTCTAATGCATTCGTGGTATCACCCCCAAATGGAGCAACCCCCGAAAAACATAAAACATTCACTGTTGTTGTAAAATGTCCGTCAGCAACCTTACGAAGACATTGTCTGACATTGGTGCTGCCCGATGCTCTTTCCTCCTGAATGTACTCTTCTTTTTTGCCTTGTTGCGCCAGTCTTGCATTGTCAACGAAGTTTTTAACTAGCTTGACGATACCGTCTTCAGTCCCCCAAGTAGCTAATGCGCTCAGGATATTACGATGTTGCAAAGACAACCTGTTGTCAGACCTACTTTTTTGCCTATTCTTGGGCATAGACACCTGAAGAGTACACCTAGGAAGAATTAACAAAGCAACCCACGCTTCAATGGACCCGGGATGAGCCACCTTGGAAAGGGTTGTTTTCAAGTTTCAAAGTCTGAGAGAAAGCCATACGACAGTTATGAGGGATGCTTTTGACGGTGGTGATAGGTAGTTTAAAAACACGATCAAGTAGCTGAACATTCATCACTAACCCATCATTGAGGTTGGCTTCTGGTCCATTGGGTGGCGGCTTTTGAATGCCAACAATATGCCCGCTCATGTCATCAACTTGACATGAACGACTCGGGACATAATACCTCACGCTCGGGACATAATATCTCACACAGTTCCCACATATTCATTGACCAAACTCCTTCAAAGTTGCCACCACTGACATAAACAATCCATGATCAGAAGTAATAGTATCTCGTAACACAGCTCTACATTCATCTGTATGGAGGTGTAAGCTCTTTAAGATGAGATATCATATGGAAAATCTCTGATTTTTAAGTTGCATGAAAATCGGTATTACTGATTTGTTTTTTAGGTCAAGTTATTAGTTTGAGATTAGGGGTGTAAACGAGCCGAGCCGAGCCCGAGCCTGACCAAGCTCGTGCTCGGCTCGTTTAATTTTGAGGAAGCTCGAGCTCGATTCGAGCCTTAAAATGAAGCTCAAGCTCGACTCGTGAACAATTTAGTGGGCTCGCGAGCCTAAATGAGCCTATATATATATATATATATATATATATATATATATATATATATATATATATATA